AAAAAATTCTAAGGTCAGGTGAGCTAGTAGAGCAGCAATTTTAATATCTTCCAGGCAGAAGCTTAGTCTCTGTCATCACCTCTTCATTTATCACAGGACAAATATTTGAAGCCGTTCCATCCCCACGTGACTAATTGAAAACATTCCCTCCTTCTCTTCTCCACTAGCTCGAGCGTTCCTTCAAATTCATGCGAGAGGCAGAGGATCAGTTGAAAGCCATTCCCCAGTTTTGCTTCCCCGATGCTAAAGACTGGGCGCCCATCTACCAATTTGCCAGGTAGGCAGGTGTTTTCCTCTCCCCCCCGTGAGAACTGGGTTTGTACGTACAACTCACTTAGCCATGGGAGCTGTTAAGGCAAAGAGAGAGAAACCCAGTGGGGGCAAAGACACTCCTGGAGAGTCCAGAAGGGAACAGAACTGACAGCATGAGAGGGGAAAGGTGGAAATATGAAAGGAGTAAAGTGTTCTCTGGGCGGTGGAGTCGGTGTGTGTACGGTGGTGTTTCCTAATGTGACAGGTTTTTTTCTTCTTCTGGTCTCTGTTCTCCCTTCTGCAGTGAGACCTTCTCCTTTGTCCTGACTGGTGAGGATGGGAGTAGACGGTTTGGATATTGCAGAAGGCTACTGGTAACTATTCATTATTCTGTTACCTAAAAGGGTCCGAAGGGGAAACCCTCCTCTGTGGTGTTTGTATTGCTGGCACCAACTGGACGGGGGTGGGGGACTTCTGCTGTTCTATTCAGTGAAGAAGCAAAAGGCACAGCAGAGGAGACTCTCCAGCTTTCTGCTTCCCTGTGCTGCTCTGTTTAAGGTCCGTCTTCAGAATCCATCCCGTCACTCCAAAATACAGCCCCTCTTCGCGTTTCTCACAATTTCGCGATGAGAGCTTCTTCTGTTTCACCAGCCAGTTCCTGAGCGATCAGGCCCCGAGCAGCGCAGAGAATGCAATCGCTTGCTCTCTGTCTAAGTTGAACTAACTACCTTTTTTTGGTGCGTTTGTGTTTCTCTCTTGAAAGCCCAGTGGGAAAGGGAAGCGTCTCCCTGAAGTTTACTGCATTGTGAGCCGCCTTGGATGCTTCAACCTCTTCTCTAAGGTGAGGGGGAAAGAGGGAGAGAACCTGCGCTGTGGGCAGTAATGAAGCTGAAAGCAAAATCAAGGCTAGAAGAATGAGGTTCAGTAAAGTGGAGGGCTCAGACTTACCTATCTCATAGAACTGGAAGGGACCTTGAAAGGTCATTGAGTCCAGTCCCCTGCCTTCCCTAGCAGGACCAAGTACTGTCCCTAACTTGAGAACCTGGAAGATGGCATTGGGAGGGGGAACACACACTAATTACATGAACTTTGCAAACAGACTATTAAAAATTAAATTACATAAAAATATGGATCAGCAAACATTGGCTTGTTCCTTTAATAAAACGACCAAGAGAAAGGATGAAATCCTGGCTCCATTGAAGTCAGTGGGTTTTACTGTTGACTTCAGTGGAGCAAGGATTTCACCCAAGGTTTCTACTCTAGTCTCTCTTGCTCACTCCATAGTATTATGATACTGCATATTTGGGCTCCACACACGCTGGGGTAAGGAGGGAATGTAAATGTTTTTATATTTTATTCTCTGTCTCCCTCTTGCCTCCTGTTTATACATCTGTGGCTTGATGTTCTTTCTTCCAGATCTTGGACGAGGTTGAGAAAAGACGGGGGATTTCCCCTGCTTTGGTGCAGCCTCTCATGAGGAGTGTCATGGAAGCTCCTTTCCCTGCGCTGGGCCGGACCATCACCATCAAGAATTTCCTACCAGGCTCAGGGACTGAAGTAAGGACAACACCAGAGCTGGAGGAGGATGGGATGATAGGACAGGCCAGCAAGCACCTGCTGGAATAATAAATCAGGCCTACACCTGTAGTGCAGGGCAGTGGGAATATGCAAATTCCTGTGAAGTGGAGGCTCGAGTTTAGAGTCAAAGGGATTGATTCTCAGTTCCTCTGTTCCTGAGGCAGGTGTCTTCAAAAATCCTTCATGCTCCCTGTATTCTGGGGCTGTTCAGGGCCACTAATGGCTCTAGTTCTCTGTGGTCTGCCTCTTCCCATGACTCAGCCCTCTAGCCAGGTCACTTTAAAGTCTCTGCCCTTCCGGAATATGAGAGTCCACAAAGAAACTGTCCACTGCCTTTCTAACAAGGTCTTCAGCCCCAAGTCTGGGCCTTGTTGTCCTCACACCCTTCTCTCAGGGTGTTCCACTCTCTTTATCCCCTTCTCAGGGGCCAGGATTTCTCAGGGTTCTCCTCTGGTTCCCCTAATACAAATTCCAAACTAAAGGTATACTAACTAAAAAGTCAATTCCTGCCCTCCTTGGGCTTCATCTTTTATCCCTCTCTGCTGCTCTGGTCCTCCACTGAGCACTTCCTAGGACTCTTTCCATGGTAGAGTCCAAATCCTGCCCTTCTATCAGGGCTTACTACTGGAGCCTGCTCCACTCCCAGCGGCTGTTTTATCTCTCTTCTGGCTTCTGCCAGAGCTCTCTGTTTAGGAGAGAATCGCAGGGCCAACTTCCTGGGCTTCTTCCTTGAGCCTCTTCACTCTGTAGTCCCAGAGAGTTACCGCAGACTCTCTCCCGGCAGGCCCCTCCTCCTTCTTCATCTTCTTGGGTTTTGTGGCACAGCAGAGTCACATTCTGTGTGTCTTACTGCCATGCACTGGGCTTTGGAGGTAGGTTATGATTTAAAGTCTGTCACCTTTCCCAGTATTCTTAAAGAATTGCAAAATAGCTTTTTTAATTGGGCCCCCATTTTCCTTGTATTCTGGACAGGAGTGACAAAGAAAATATTCTTATGTATATGGAAAACTCAGAACTCTTAGTATATCTCCTTTCACTGGTACAGTTTTTACAATTCCATGAGAGATGATCCATCATTTGCTGGGCCGTACATGTTTCACATAGTCCATCCTTTTGTTTGTTTATTGGAAATAGGTTACTATTTCATCCACAAAGACCTGTTAACATTTTGAATAAAGCCATTTTGCTCTTAGAATCATAGAATCGTAGGACTGGAAGGGACCTCGAGAGATCATCTAGTACAGTCCCCTGCACTCATGGCAGGACTGAGAATGTTCATCTCAGGGCCTTGGACTATACCAACATTTTCAACTATTGGGCATAATTCACAGAATTTTTTCCCTTTTATTTCATGTGCTCATAGTTCTTGCCATTCCTTCCTTAGTTCATTTTTGATTAAGTGCTTAAATTCCTGTTTGCTTAAGGGGATCTCTAGGTCAACTTGTTCGGCCTTAATAGCATTTTTTGTCTCTTTGTCTGCCAGTTCATTGCCAGCTAGCCCTACGTGTGCCGGGATCCATGCTATTATTATGGTCACATACAATTGTGCCAATTCAGCTGTTAGCAGTAATATTTCATTAGATATGTGTCTGCTGTCAGACTTGCCATTATATAGTGTCTGCAACCCTGATAAGGAATCAGACAAGGTGGCCATGGCAGCTGGCCGCAAAGCTAGGGCCCAGGTTAGTGCCAGCAATATCCCTATTAGCTCAGCCGGAGATAAAGTTAGTGAGTCTTATGGCTTTCTTGAGTCTGAATGTGGGTGCCCAGAAAGCTATTCCCACTCTACCCATTCCTTCCTCTGGAGCCATCAGTATGCATTTGACAATAGTGTTCCCACGTATCATAGATACATTGATTTACTATATCTTGTATATTAATCATTCTTCTCCTTTTGTTCATCATATAGTTCCATATCTATCTTGAGGAGGAGGTTCTCCGGAGATGGAGTATTTTCCCAGTGCTAGAGATTTTGGCCTCTTTTTTAAGCCTTTATTTTCACAGAGATCATTTATGCACTTCCTTACCCTACTTACTGAGGATTTTTGAGTTTTGTCCTACCTGCTCTCCACTTAATTCCCAACAATTAATATATATTAGCTTAGTGTTATCTTCACTATTACCTAGTACTTTGGCCCTAAAGGCTAAGTCTTGGAGCTTCATTCTGAGAGTGATAGGCATGCTCCAGCTGCTATTTGCATTACATACAGAGGCGAGGTAATGAAGGCACCGCATGCAATATGCAATGCCTGTGCTTGGATACAGTCTAGTTTTCTCAGATTTGTTTTCAATGCTGACCTAAAGGCCTAGCAGCCATACTTAATAATAGGTCTGATTAGGGTTCGCCGTTTTCTTAGTAAGTTGATTCTCCCTTTGCACTTATCTATAATGTTTTTGATATGGTCCTGTCACGGGGTTCACAATTCACTTCTAGGGGTGCCTCCTCCTGGCTGGTTTGGGGATTAGCTCTTTCAGCCTGACGCCTCTTCTTATGGTTTCTCAGCCCGTCATCTCGCTCTGTCGCTCTGAGGCCCTTCTCCTGCTCCTCAGGAGCTGCTGCACCTCGTCTTCATGGCTTGCATCTCTGGCCAAGTCACAACAGTCCTCCCCTTCCGTGGTTCTATCACAGTCTTCCACAGCATCCCAGGCAGTCCTTAAGTCCACTGCCCTGGCTTAAGTAACTCCCTCAGTGATGGAGATAGGGCCCCTGGATGGATAGTCCCAGATGGTCCTCAAGATCACTGCCCAGATTGGGCCACTAATTCAGTGGCTGGTAGGGGAACCCAGGCCCACCCTGAGGTTCCAGTCCAGGGGCCCTATCTCTGGCAGCCAAGGTCTGTACTACCCCAAACCTTCCTACCTCTCTCTTGGACTACTTCCTACATTGCCTCTCCCAGGCTTTCATTCTCCACCCTTCTAGCCAAACCCTTTTCCTCTGGGTCTGCTAGACAAACCCTTCCTCTGGGGTCTAAATCTCTTTCTCTTCCTTGTCCCATGAAGAGTGACTGAAGCCCTCTTCCCGGCAGCACCCCCTTCTGCTACCAGCTCCCTGGTTTTATAGACGAGGTGAGCTTCCCTTAATTAGGGCTTTCCTCTCAGCTGAAATGTCCCCTGGTCTGCAGCCTAATAGGTTAATTGGCCCATCTGGCTTATGTTAACCCCTTCAGGGCAAGTGGAGGAAGCACGCTCCATCACAGGTCCCTCCAGGTGAGCTTATTATCAGATATCACACCTAAGAATTTGTCCTTTTTCACTATATTTATCTGCTGGTCATATATTTATACAATTTCTGAATCTTCCATGTTGTGCAGATCATTCATTTAGTTTTGTTAGTGGAGAACTTGAAGCCCCACCTGTTTCCCCGTTCTGTACTCCCGCAAAGTGCATCGCTGATTCCTTTGGTGGCATGTCCGAGGTTTCTGCTTTAGGTCCCTATGGTCTGGTCACCAGCAAATCATGTGATGCCTATTCCTGCACTCGTTTCCTTTGGAAGGTCATTTATCATGATTTTAAAAAGGGCTGGACTAATGACAATCCCCTGTAGAGTTCAATATACAGTGGAAAAGGCTTTCCCTACCCGGACCCGCGTAGTTCTTTGTGTAGGAAATCCCTTGTCCGTTTGTATATTCTTCCTACAGTACCCAGGGTTGCCACTTTATATAATAGTCCCTCTCTCTGTAACTCATCACAGGTTTTTTCTATGTCCAGAAAGGTTACTCTCATGTATTCGTTCCTTCTCAAGCTTTTTTGTGCTTCTGTGTCTATTGGTGTCAGTTGCACCCCTGCTATCTGAACCCACATTATGTTCCATCTGTGAGCCTATTTCCTTCTGAGCGTGCTACTCATCTCTCCATCCCCAGTCTTTCCATGGTTTTGGCTAAACATGCTGTGAGCGCAATTGGTCTGTAGGCCTCAGGCCTAGAGTGCCTCTTGCTGGGTTTCTTCACCAAGGCACTAAGCACATGTTTCCAGTCCCTAGATATTTCCCCTTTTCTCCGTATGCTATTCTGTCATTTTAGTATTACACTCAGGCTTTCATCGCCTAGGTATTGGAGCACTTCAAAGCTTACTAGCCCCCTTCTGCTACAAGCTTCCTCTCTTTATGTTAGCCAGCCTGTTCCTGCCCAGTCCGGGCTTCATGATCAGTTAAGCCTGGCTCTTCCTCCAGGTGTAGCCTGCTGTGTAAATTGCCCATTCAGGCACACATTAACCCATTCAGTGCCATGTGGGGTAGAGCCTGGCTTGGCCCTGAGGGTAAATTTAAGTGGCCTTAGGGTCTCTGGGAAACCCATATAGAATATCTGTAGTGGAGCATGCCCCAGCCACACCCTCGGACTGCTGCCTACACCAGAGAGCTTCACTGTACAGGGGTTATTCTTAGGGGGCTGTTTCTGCTAAGGCCCTTTAAGCTGCCACAACAGCACATGGGGCCTTAGCCTACCTGAGAACCAGGTCCAAAGTTGAGGGTGGGTCATGTGACGTACTGTGGAAGAATGGGCAAGGTGCTTTGAAGCTGGTTGCACCGGAGGAAAGATGGTCTAGCAGTTGTGGAACTGGCCTGGGACATGGGTGACCTGGCTTGAATTCCCTGCTCTGTCACAAACTTCCTGTGTGAACTTGGGCAAGTCACTTTGTGCCTCAGTTCCCACTCTGTAACACGGGGATGATAATACTGCCCTATCTCACAGGGGTGTTCTGAGGAGAAATACACTAATGGCAGTGAAGTGCTATGGTGAGGACTGTATGCATAGATAGAAGCAAAGGCAGTAGTCTATGTTGTAATTGCTACCAGAGTGGATAGTCTACAAGTTAGACCTTGCTCCCCTCTCCTTCCCGTCCAGATTCTCATAGTGAAAGTGATCCTGGCTGTTTGAACTGACTGAAGAATTAGAAACATCCCCTGCCTCCATCCTTCCCCCTGTACCCTGCAGAGTGCTTCCCAGAATCCATTCCTGATGGGAACAAAATTCCACTCCCTGGGACTGCCCTGTGTCAAAAGACTAAACATAAAAGTCTGCTTGGGCATCACACACATAGGGAGGGAGCTCCCTGTGCCTAATTCAGTGGGAGAATCTGCAATGGATTTCTACACCCACCTGGAATGGACTCTGGATAGAGCCCCTGGGAGAGTGCAATCTGAACTGTTCCTGTGGCCTACTAGAATATAGGCCCTTGCCCAAACTGAACTCCAGGTTCTACTTGTTATTAGCCCTGTCTGCTGAACCTCATGTTGGGAGAACCTATCCATCTATGATAGCCATCTGCTTCAGACCTCTTCACCATCACTGCTCAAGGGGGTGGGGAAAATATGATGGGAAGCCAGTGCTGGCCTTCAGCTTCATCTGCAGGCTTTCATTTGTGGGTCCTGTAGAAAGACTAAATCTCAAGGCTTGCCACTCACTAAGATAAAGTCTCCTTTAGCTCCAGCAGCAATGCAGTTTCTTTTGGTTGAGAGGGTCCCTGGTTAAAGTCCTGGGGGAGTCTGGCCCCTTGCTTGTCAGTGCACTGATTGAGGCCGTGTTTTGCTTCCTCCTGGCAGGTAATTGAGCTGCGGCGGCCTCTGGACTCGAGACTTGAGCATGTTGATTTTGAGTCCCTGTTCTCCTCTCTCAGCGTCCGGCACCTGAGCCGAGTGTTTGCGTCCCTGCTTTTGGAGAGAAGAGTGATCTTTATAGCAGACAAACTCAGGTACCCACCTTTGTATCTTTCTCTTGCGTTCTTGTAAACCAAATGTTAGTTAAAGAGAGACTGAGAAGGGAATACTGGCCCCTCTGTGTTGTTCTTTTGTTCTTCTCTGTTATTTCCCAGCAAGTACAGCCAATGCTCCCAAAGGGCAGGAGCTCTGACGAGGTGACACACCCTCTACCGGACATGCTGCGAGAAACCTCAGCCCAGCTCTGGAACTTGCAAAAACTGAGCTTCCTTTGGTGCACAAAGGAAACCAAGTTCCCTTTACTCAGAATCTCACCGAGGCAGAGCTCCTTGCAATAAGGAAGCAGAACCCCACCTATTGCTTGGGAGGGAAACAATGTTCCCTTCTCAGTCATGCTCTGGCACCCACAGGAACCAAGCCCAGGGGTAGGGGTGGGGGAGAGGAGAGCGGGAACTCAGTGTCTCTTAGCCCTTTCGCTGAGGTTCTCAGATTCTGTTGACTAATTTTTTAATATTGGTTCTTGAGGTTTGGGGTTTAAACTGATTCACTCCCACAAGTTCAGCACAGGGGTCCAGGTCTCTTTAAGATTTTATGCAGCTGGTGCCTGGCAGCCATCCAGCTCTTAAGCACTTGAGGATTCAGAGAGAAGAGTTCTCAAAGCTCGGTGACGGAAAAGCTACAGATGAGTAATGACACTTATGAGCGCGATCAGGTTTCAGCAGCGTACAATACCCCCAAGCTGTCTGTTTTCACAGATCCCAGCCAGCCAGGCTACAGCCCTGGGACTGGGGGAGGGAAGGCAAGTGGAGAGGCCCCTTTTATAGGGGAGCAAAGGAACAAGTTGCCCTGCAGGGGTCCAGGGCAGAGCTCATACAAATTCATCACACCAATGGGGAGGCTGGGTGCATACAGGCTGCAGCTGGTAGCATACAGGCTGCAGTTCCCCACTTTTGCTCCTTTACTGCTGCTTTGGGTCAAGAAGGGGAGGATCTATTTGGTTACATTCGCTTGACATGTTACATACATAGATTTTTTTTCATATCCTCTTAAAAGTACATCAATATGCAAGGCATGAAAGCACTGACGCTGCCCTTAACCTGAGACAATCCTATGTTTCCCATGTCTAAACTACACAAATAATTTTGGTAATCTTTATAATGATAAGGTTTTCTCTGGGAGGTTTTTCCTCCCATATAGGATAAGTGCAGCATTATGACTGGATTCATTAGGGACAGAGGCATAGATTAACCTTTACATGATGATAGCCAGTGAGAATATGTGATGCCATGCAAAGATTTTATTGGTATAAATTTGGAATCAGCACATTGTTAGGCAGATCGTCCCCAATGAGTGCCAGTAAAACCCTTATATCATATTGCACCATCATGTGGCATATCCAGAATACGTGTGTGACAGAAAATATTGCAAAAATGTTTTCTATCATTTCTATCATGACAGTAAAGCCAGGTGCCTTAGTACTGAGTCCAACTGTCCAGGACTTGGAAAAAGAGAGAAAGTATTACAAACTGTAGTAGCCTCTAAAAATTATATACAATAGCTTGCCTATACATAAAGGTTTTAAGGTCTAGTATCTATGAATCTACAAGGGCTAGAATCAAGTACTGTGTGCCGTGTTGCCATCACTCGTGATTTTATTGTGAATCTTGCGATATTTGGTATTTCTCTTAGAGCCCCAGCTCCTGGAATCAGTTATTTCACGAGAATCTCAGCTTTCTTTTTTTACCATCAGCTTAAAATAAGTTTCTAACCCACATAGTTGTGGTGACGAGTTTGAAAACATGACCCAAGAGTACCTTAAAGGCTCAGAAACCAGAAGTCAAAGAAAATAACCCAAATGTAATATTAAAAACAAAAAATCCTTGATTTTTAAAGCCAATCTCATGATTTTTGAGACCTGACTCATGATTTTGGAACATTTGGCATTGGCAACACTGTAGTGTATCATAATGGGAAGCTGAGAATCTTTTCCATCCATTGACGGAAAGCTCCTGTTCCTATCAGTGATGGCTTTTGAGATATTGGACTTCAAATCTATCACTGATTCAAGGCTGACTGTCACTCGTTCTGGAACATGGGACAAGGAAATTGCCAAGTATTAAATAGTGTTTACTTTGGGAATGGGAATTGCACGTTTCGGGGGAAAGAAAACAAACATTTATCTGGCAAATAGATTTTAAAAAAAAGTAGAAAGACAGCTGTTTGAAGCTGCTCAGGGGTTTGGAATGCTAGTAGGAGTCCAGGAGGGATGAATTAATGGTCAGAGTGCAGGTGAAGTGCTGAAAAGTGCGTGATAAATTGCGTTTATCGCACACCACTCTAATTTATCATGTGAATGTCATCACTGTGTTTATCTGTACGTGTAGTTGTTGTGAGGGTATGTATGTATATATTAATATATATATATATAGAGAGAGAGAGAGAGAGAGAGAGAGAGAGAGAGTGATACACACATAGTTTATTTATGTGTTTTAATTGCTACAAAATCTGAAGTCTCTGTGAAAGGAAGTGGAAAGGACTCTTGCCAAGTACTGTGTGAATTATTAAATGTTTTCAAGCTGAGCCAAAAACACATCTAACAAGTATAAAGCAAGTGAAATGCTTTTGTCTTTTCCATCTTTGGAATGAATATTGAATGTTTTTTTTAAAAATCTGTCAATCCAAAGCTTGGCAGTGGACAAAGAGAGAATTTGGTTGTTAGTTTTATTCCCCCTGGCCATAGCAACAAGAGTAAACATTCCCTTTCAACCCAAAAAATGACTACCCCCAAAAATTGTTGCTCTATTGAGATAATCTTTCCCCAGCTTTGCTCAGGCCTGTACAGGCCTTCATGTGGGCATGGGAAAACACCAGTACTTAAGGTCTGCTATGTGACACAAATGGATTAGGCTATCTTTGTAGTGAGATTTTGTTTTCAAATCAAAGTGCCAGAGTGACAGTCCTGGACACTGAAGACCAAGATTTGCAAAAACAGATGTCTCAGAGTCAGACTCCTTAAGCCGAACCTAAATAGGTGGCCTGATTTCACCAAAGTGCTAAGAATGTGGCAGTTCCACTGGGCTGAGTGGAAGCTGCTGAGAACTCAGCACTTTAGAGATCAGAACACTTATCCAGGAGCCTAAATAAAGATGTAGGAGCCTACCTTTAAGGTACCCATTTTTGAAAATCTTGGTCTAAAGTCCTGTGAGGGCCTGGAGGTCACCCTGATGCACCCCCTTATGGTCAGGCATGGCACTGTAGGTGCACCCCATCTCACGTCCCTTCAGCTGGGTTATAATCAAGTCTGACGGATCTTTTTAATCAAAGAGCACCCTCCTTGCAAGGGTCTCATTTATTAGTGACATTCACAAGCACAAGTAGCTCACTCAGGTACACCCAGGAATATTCGTTGCCTTGAGCTTAGTCCAGCTAGCCATCTCTGGCTCCTTCCTTCAGGAGACTCTTTATTCCTGTGCCTGAAAACAGCCTCTGGTCCAGCAACCCTTCTTGATTCATTCTCAGGGTTACCCCTTTTCAGTCCTTCCTTAAGCTGGAATCCCCAGCTCTCCTCCTGGGAACTGGGCTGTATGAGTTAATTTCACCCTTTCCCCTCACCTAGGAGCCTCACCAACTCTCCTCGCTGGAGCTGGGTGGGCTCTGTTAGGCAGATTTTGTGGTCCTCCCTAAGCAGGATTCCTTAGCTGTCCTCTCTGGAACGGAGTCATGGATTAGCCAGCTGTGGGACCTTTACCAGCTTCACCCCCAGCTGGACCAGCCTTTCCCTGCTGGTGTCGCCTACTGTCCACTCTGCTATGAGAAAGGAGGCAGCTTTTACGCTGTTCCCCTTCTTTCAGCTCATCCCAATTGGCTGGGGGAGAGGGGAGCCTTGCCCCTCTCTCTCTGCCAGGCTTCTGGCTCTGGGTCCTTCAAGAAACAGTAATGGGATTTCATCCAGAATGCTTTTTACTCCCGGGACCACTTCCTCTCTCTGCGTGTCTCCCAAGTCCCTGTATATATAATCAGGCCTTTCACCCTCTTAAAGGGCCAAGCCATGTGATGGGGTGGGTTGACCATTAGGCACCACTGTTCTTAAAGGACAGATTACCCCGTCACAAGTCCTATAGATCCCTGCTGGGGACTGCAGCTGTGTCAACAACACTTCGGGGTCAATAGTATCAAAGGCAGATCTAAAAGAATCAGCATGGACACTTTTGATTTGGATCATCACCAGTAGGAGATGACAAACCAACAAGAGCAGCACATGCTCCATGCTATACCTAGGTCTAAAATCAGACTGATCAGGGCTCAGGCCGTCTGAGCACTCTGGAGTTACTTTTCTCTCTTCTCCCTACCCTCAACCTGAAGGAGAAGATTAGAGAACAGATGATAACTGATAGGATTCCCAGCCTAGAGAGTATGTGCCTAAAAATCATTTCCACATGACATGCCGCTAATCTGCCACGCCAAAGGGAGGCATTGACAGTCTCCACAAATAGTGGACCCGTGTCTTCCTGCTAGATTTTAATCGTTCTAAAGCTTCCATTTTGCAGTTGAAAGGCTGAAGTTCCCTGAATACATCCAGTACCACAGCGAGCAGGGCCAGCTCCAGGCACCAGACAAGAAAGCACGTGCCTGGGGCGGCACATTGTAAGGGGCGGCATTCTGGCCAATTTTGGGGCGGCCAGCCCAGCCCTGCAGGGGCACGAACTAGCGATCCCCGCCGCTCACCGTGCCGCCGGGCTCCCCGGGACACGCCACTCCCCACTGCCTGCACCGGCCTCTGCCTCCCGTGCCGCTCTGAGCCCGGCCCGGCTGAGCCAGCACCTCCTGCAGCCCCCGGGGGCTCCGCCTGCCCGGCCGGGAGAGGCACCCCACGGGCGGAGGGCTACCCACGGGCGGAGGGAGCGGGTGGGTGCCGCCCTTCACCCCCCTGCAAGCCGCCTTGACTGCCCTCCATGTGCTCCCTGCGGCTGCCATTTTTTTTTTTTGCTTCGGCAGTCCGGCCGCCGTTTGTTTGTTTGTTTGTTTTGCCTGGGGCGGCAAAAAAGCTAGAGCCGGCCCTGACAGCAAGCCATATTGGCTGAAACTCAAGCAGAGGAGACTCCACATTTGTATTCTTCCCCACTCCCCTACTCCCCAAAGCAACTTCTCTGCACTCCCGGATGCTGATGGATCTGAAGCTAAGCAATCTGATCCACAAAGTAGACTGAAAATTCCGCAATGGGAGAAATGTTCCACACTGAGAGCAGATGACCAGGATTAACCTGGGAGAGTTCTGGTGACCAGGATTTCAGAGATGCTATGGTAAAAGGGAAGGAAACCTTCTTTGCTTCCTGTACAGTCACAGCATACAACTAAAAAAAAAAATTGTCATAACCAATGCAACTGAGTCTGTGACTTCCACCAGCTGTCCTCCCAGGCATCTTCCCTCCCACTTCCGCTGTCACATGCCCTCTGTATTCCACTGTGACTTGCAAGCAGGGGAAGAGGGAATGGAGAGTCACTGTAATGCTGGTAGAGGACAAAATGTTTTAATATCCCACTAGCCCCCAGGTAGAGTAATGTTTTGGCTGCACAATGTTCTTCCTTAGAGCTGTCTGGAACCAGACCAATTAGTTTCATTAGTCACTAAGGCCAACCTTTCACATCAGTTCCTATCCCTGGATAGAGTTGCTGGCTGTGCCCTGAAAATGAAGGAGGCAGAGGTTGGTTCACGACAAAGATGTAACCTCTACTCTTGCCACCTGCATCCCAACTCAAAAAAAAAAAAAGAGCTCCAATGCTATCCTCAGAATAATCCCATAACGCTACTGATAATTGGTGACAGTGCTTCCACACAAATGCTGCTAGTATTGCTGCAGGTTATAAAATTGGGGAGGTGAAAAATATGCTAGGAAATAAAGGAGGAGGAGGAGGAAACCCCTGCTTTTCAATCTCGGATAATGTTGGCCCCAAAATGTATGAGGAAAAGCAACTTCTCCTTAAAGGAGACAGTTTTAAAGGGACACAGTCAGGCTGATGTTCACATGGCAGGCCTACTCTTGTTACAAGTTTGTGGTAAATGAATGCAATCAAAGAACGTTTATTTTTCATGTTGTTTGCCTTGTGCAATTGACAGGACTCTGTGGAGAGTCAGTATCACTAGCTGTGGTTGGTGCAGGCCCTGCAAAAGGGGACTTGCTGGTGAGAGCAGAAGCAAATTGCAAGTGGAGGTGAAGGGGCAGCAGGCAGGAATGTGCACAGAGAGCAAGAAAGGGGCAGGAACATGCTTTAGTGGTTAGGCTCCTGCACCCTTCTGAACATCAGCTGGGGAGTAGAGCCCTCTGCCCGTTTTTAAAAATCCAGGAGACGCTCCATCAGAAATGTCAAAAAAAAATTTTTTACAGTTGTCAGAAACAAATCAAGTTGACAGTGTCCCTTTAAGCAAGGAAATGAAAATCTGGGCCTCTTTTATAAAGAGAGACTCCCTCCATGTGGAAGTCCCTTGAAGTAATTCCCTAGTATATTCTCTTCACCGGTTAGAGTCACTGGTAAAGCCTAAAGAATAACAAAAACCTAGCGCTTATATAGCACTTTTCATCAGTAGATCTCAAAGCGCTTTACAAAGGAGGGCAGTACCACTATCCCCATGTTAAACTGAAGTGTTAAATGGATTCCTCTCTCTGCCCTAGGATCGGAATTCACTTATCCCCTGGCTGCCATGAACCTCTGTATAAACTGTTCAGAGCGCTTCTTCACCTGGTCACAGTGATGTCCCAACAACAGAAGTCACACTTTGCCAAATTGAATGTATCCAGTGAAAAGCAGCCAAAACCTGTAGCCCAACCATGATATTCTCCTAAGCCCACTCTGCTGTCATGCTGGAGGGACTCAAATTTACCAGACTTAATTGGAACAAAAAATCAGGCCTCTTACTTTCTGAGCGAGCACAAGACCACATCTACCAAACCCCCTTCTCTCTCTTTCATTACAAGTCAGCAACAGCTGCCAGAGCCACATTTCTCACTGTAAATTCCCCCCATGGAGTTTAATACAAGCCAGCTGTGAGTGCTTTCCTGGCCATGTGATTCCTTCAGGCCAGACTAGCCTTTCTCCCCTCCCCCATTCTTTCAAGAGCTGGATGCTAGTAAAACCGAAATGACGTTATGTACACAGCTTGTTATGGCGAGCCTCCCCATCCCCTGACATGCACAAACACTTCCAAAGCCAGAACAGATGAGTAACCAATGTCCCGCAGCGTGCTCTGCATAGCCCCGTGAAACTGACCGCACGCCCCACCCACCTCTCCTTCCAGCGCTTGGAAGAGTTCTCTGGCCAAACCTTCTTGGAAGTCGTCCGTGAAGGAACTTTCAGCAGAGTCACTGGTAGCATTTGAATGGGAAAAGCATGAACTATCCCAGCTCCTCAGGGTATGTCTGTACTGGAATCAGGAGGTGTGATTTCAGCACTGTAGGCATCTAGATAGATCAAAGCTAGCTGGAGTAACAATAGCAGTGTAGCTGCGGCAGCATGGCATGACTGGTCACTCGCGCGTGTGCTCCAGGTCCTGGATGGGGTTGCACTCAGGAGGCTAGCCGACGCCACTGTCCGGCTGCCACGGTTATCCTGCTCTTGTTACTGAAGCTGGTTTTGATCCAGCTAGATAAAGGCAACTCGAGTATGTCTACCCCGTATACAATCACACCTCCCAATTGCAGTGTAGACATACTTGCAATCTAGTCCTTCCCCACCATCCTCTTGGGTCAGCCTGGCCTTTTGAGGCCCTGTCTTGAGCAGGGCCTGTATGGTAGTATAGTATTTTGTCCTGGTTTCTATTGAGTATTTAGTCTGTTTTCTCTGAACAGTTCGTTATATGTGCATTGATACCCTTTTCCCCTGCAGCCTTGTTCTTCGCTGAGGTGTATGCCCAGTGTCAGAAAGAGATGTTGTTGTTAATTAAAAGAGTGTCACTGGGCTGGGAGAGAATTAAGCATCAGGACAAGCAGTGCCTTCAATACTGTATCTCTGTTCTCTAAAGAAAGCAAAGTTGCACAGTTAGCCACTTCTGTGTGTCCTTGCCAGGCATGCACTGGAGGCAATGGGAAACTGCCCCTTGTTATGTGACAGAGGAATAGCTTTCAGTAATCCTGACCCATTCCATGTGTCTTTAGACCAGGAAATAAAGATTGGGGACAAGAGTTTTGAAAATGACTAGTGACTGTGGGTGCTCAACTTGAGACACCTGAAAGGGGCCTAATTTTCAGCAAGTGCTCAGTGCTCACCTTCTGCCTTGCCTCTACTGCTGTGTGCTTTGTGTTGTCTTCTAGCACCTTGTCGAAGTGTTGTCATGCCATGGTGGCTCTCCTCTACCCCTTCACCTGGCAGCACACCTACATCCCCGTGTTGCCGCCTTCCATGATTGACATTGTGTGCTCACCAACCCCATTCCTGATTGGCCTGCTCACCAGCTCACTGCCCCGCCTCAAGGAGCTACCGGTGGAAGAGGTGAGCCATGAACTCAGATGAAATTGTTGTATTTAAAAGCCACAGGCGTTGGCTGCACTGTGTTGTCTTCTCACCCAGAAGGGTTTGCCTCTTAGTTTTAAGGCAGGGTGGCATTGTAACTACCTGTGGCTGCAGAAATACAGCTATCCCAGTTGTCAGTGAACTGCATCGTGAATAGAACCCGTAACCTTTGGCTCCAAGACACACACGCTGCTACCTAGTGAGCAGGGACTTTGCTGCAATTGGTAGGGGGAACTGATATAATGACCTTCATTTTTCCTTCCTGTCCCACAGGGAGTTGGGAGAAGGGCTCCAGTGGTGATTTTGCTGGTGGGGTTTATTATTACAAGTTTTGTTATAGTTATAGTGCTACCAGGACAGTGCATGTGGAGAGTCAATTGCTGAGTCTGTCATGTATGAATTGTTCTTTTTAGAGATTGTCCAGGGCCTGGGACGGTTGTAGTTAGTACAGACGCCTGTCTGACTGGCTGTATCAATCTGTTGTCTCTTGTCTTATACTTATCCCTAGCCTCTGCTTGCCAGTAGCTGGGAATGAGCAACAGGGGATGCATCACTTGATGATTACCTGTTCTGTTCATTCCCTCTGGGGCACCTGGCATTGGCCACTGTCAGAAGACAGGATACTGGGCTAGATGGACCCTTGGTCTGACCCAGTATGGCCGTTCTTATGTTCTTACGTAGATTACAAGCTCTTTGGAGCAGGGACTGTGTTTTAGTTATGTTTGTACAGCACCTAGCACAATGCAATCTGGTCTGTGACTAGGGCTTCTAGGTGCTCCCACATTACAAATAAATAATAATTATAAGCAGGCCTGTAAATAAATGACTAACTCTGAACAGGACTGATGAGTGGTGTGCAAGGGCAAACGTGCACACACACACAGCGTGACAGGTCGTAACATTTTTTCAGCCGTGCATCCAAAGTGTTCCTAGACTCCAGTGCAGGAAAAACCTTTGGTGGGCTACAACCTTCTGCCCGTCAGTGGCACTGATGGTGGTGAGGTGTTAAGGGAAATAATCTTTTAAAGACAAGCTTATATCAGAGACCCTGTTTTCCTCCCCACTTCACACCTGCTCTATAACTACCAACACTGTTCATACAGAGCTGATCTTTGCAGAGTCATACTAAGCAATTACTTCCAATATTCCTGTGGCAACGAGTCCCACAGATTACATATGATGTGTTTAAATTTTTTTTAAAAGTTGCATTGCTTTGTTTTCTGTGATAGAATAAATACTAAATAGGAGTTCATGATAAATCCCCATATTATTTTGGTCACTCACTCATCATTGGCTGTGTAAAATAGCCTGTGGCTTCTTTATAAAGCTTTCCGCTTAGACAATAGATCTGATTGTGTTCTAGTCTAAGGGTTTGGGATGTGTAGGGGAGAGGCGAAGGCAGGAGGGTTAGGGAAGGCCAGCTTCTTTCAGTTCAAGCTGTCATTTTGTAGCTTGTGGCGAAGTGGTCAGAAAACCACAACAGGGGCCCTGCTGTTGACCAGTGTTTTATATCTCCTCCAGCTGCTGTGGTTCTGTGAGAGGGGAGGAGTTTTCCTGGAGAGCCAGGAAGGCTTGGGATAATCTCTGGTAACCGGAAATAACAATTCCCCATTCTCTCTTTGGTAGGTCCTTGTGGTTGACCTCGTTAATAACCGGTTCCTCAGACAGGTGAGTAGAGCTGTCCCATATGGGGCTTTTTTCTCCCACTTCCTCCCTCTCCTTGCCTTGACCTGTATTTGCTTATTCTGCTTGGCTGGCTGGGCCAGGAGCCCCTGCCTTGACCCAGGCTGGGAGGCAGGATTTGATGGCAGGTGCTGTTTAATAGTAATGTCACCGTTCTTTGTGCTTAGGTAGCACCTTAAAGAATCTCAAAGCACTTTACAAACATTAAACCCTCCATAATCCATGCGAAGTAGAGAAGCATTATCCCCTTTTAACAGATGGGAAACTGAGGCACGAGGCCTGCAGAAGTGTGTTGTCCAAAGTCACAGAGTGAGTCACAGGCAAAGCTGGGAATTGACCCGAGTCTCGACACTGTCCTTTGCTCTAAGCACTGGTCAGCACTACCTTCTAGGGTAATATCTGCACCTTCCAGTGAAGAATGGTTTTAGTAGATCTTTCAGTTTCTGTCTTCATCGGTCCCTCTCATGTTCCTCTCTGTCTAGTCCTTGCATTACCAGACCATAGTGGGAAGACAATAAATGGGAATCTGGCCATCAGTTTGCAGACAAATACACCTCTTCTGATTCCCTTTGACCTGGAGCAGAGGAGCATGAATTTTGGGGTGTCCTGGAACATATTCCTAGACCTGGAAGCCAGGGATTGATTATCAGGTGGTTTTGTTTGTTTTCTAACCAGAATCCAACTCCTCTGAATCACACCCACAACCCACAGAGTTCAGGCTAGGGCAGGAAATCAAGCGTCTGGTTAAGACATTGGACTGGTCCAGGAGCGCTGGGTTCAACTCCCATCTCTGCCACAGACTCCTTGTGAGACCTTGGGCAAGTTTCTTAGTCTCTCGGGGCCACAGTTCCCCATCTGTAAGTGGGGATAATAGCACTGCCCTCCCTCACAGGGGTGATATGAGGACAACGGCTGTTTCTTATCTTTCAATACAGTTTTCGTATGTCAGCTGCTCTGGCTATACAGCCCTCTTCCAGTGGCTTAGAGCGTGGCAAACCCCTCCCTTCTGACTCCCAACTCTGTTACTGCCCAATCCGTCTGTGGTGTCTCTGTGCCTCTCCCGCTGCTCCCTGCATGTCACTGTATGAGGGGTGGGGGTGAAAATCACTTAGCCATATGCAGGTCTTAGCCTAGCTGCTGTGCCTGCCTAGCTGCTTGCTGGCATTGTTTGGCTGACTCCCGCTCCTGATATTATCAGAACAACACCTTACCTCCAGCAAGGCAGTGGGGTCAGGGCTGGGAGACGGGCGACATGATCTCAGATCGAACAGCTGAAACGACAGGTTACAAATCCGTCCAATGCGAGGTGGTAGCTGGGGGTGAGACACCCACTTTAGTGCTTATAGAAGGGATGGACAGTCCCGAACAGAAGGCACTAGATAAGCGCCGAGTATTGTTGTTATTGCTCTCCCGGTCTCATAACAGATAACCTTCCATGCCCTTGCCCCATCTCTCCCGGACTCCACGCGAGCTAGCTGAGGAGAAATGCAGGTTCCCGGAGCCAGCACAAGCCCCACCCTGAGAAGGTCCCTGAGTGTGTGCTTGTGTTTTCTAGATGGAGGACGAGGACTCCATCCTGCCTCGGAAGCTGCAGGCGGCGCTAGAGCACATCCTGGAGCAGAGGAATGAGCTGGCTAGCGACAAGGAGGAGGGCTCTCTGAATGGCAGACACGGTACAGCCTGTCTGCTCGTTTTCATCGGGTGGGCCCGGCCCGGCGGCCCTTCAGTCACTTCCCCAAAAGGGGCAGTTTTCATCCCCTGGCCCAGGTTTGAATGGAAGATGCAGTTCAATGGCTAGAACTAGCTGGGCTTTGCTAAACTCTCCAGCGCGCTGGTGACCTTTGCTATGTGACTGACTTCCATGGGGTCTCCTTCAGCCTCTGCCCCATACGTCCTGCCTACACACACACACACCTTATCCACAGCCAGACTCCTCCTAGCCAAGGAAGTTGCTTTGGTGTCAGTCCTGGGAGTGAAGCCTTCCCCTCCAGCCGGGCAGAGCCTGCGGCCTCCACAGCACCCCCATCCTGGGCAGGGGTGAATCGGCAAAGTGAGATAAGGCCTCCTGCTTAGCCGCTGGACTCAAACAGCACCTTGGAGTGGAGGTTGATGGGGGGCCACACTGAGGTTCTGCACCTTGTGCATGTGCCACACTGGATCACCTGCCAGGGGCCTGCAGCCTACGTAGTGCTCCTGGGAGCAGTGGCAGCCCACTCCCAGCTTTTTAGTGGAAAGTACATGTTGAGGTGTTCTCTCTCCACAGCTGCTTCTCACTCTCAGACCCGTGCAGGGCACAGTTCCTAAAGAGGCCAGCAGGGCTGGTAAGGTGGTGTGGAACCAAAGCCAGGAATGCAACTTCAAAGTAAACCAGGGTGTGACCCTTCCCGCCTAGTGCATCCTCACAGTTCCACCACTAGCACCACCATCACCTCACGGCTTTCTCTGCTTCTCCCCCACCTCTTCCTTAGAGTCCAGCCCCTTGAACGAAGTGGTGTCTGAAGCCTTTGTTCGTTTCTTTGTGGAGATCATGGGCCACTACTCCCTGTTCCTGACCCCCAGCGAGCGAGAGGAGCGGACCCTACAGCGGGAGGCCTTCCGCAAGTCTGTCTCCTCCAAGAGCCTTCGACGCTTCCTGGAGGTCTTCATGGAAACCCAGATGTTTGGGGGATTCATTCAGGAACGGGAGCTGCGGAAACAGGGGGTCAAAGGTTAGGGGCTCTTCTTCTTATTCCAGCTAGGCTTGTGGAATCTTTGTCATCAGTCCCCTGGGAGTGGTGGGTGAGCAGCCAGCATCGTCCCCTGAAGCAGCACTGGCTGTAGCTCTGGGGTGAGGCCATGATGACCATGTGTTTTTGAAAGATTGCAGTGATCCCATCCCTCTTTGAGAGAGGTGTGGCCTGAGTATAGACCCAGGCGCCAATAACTCCTGGGTTCCATTCCTAGCCTCCATCTCTGGTCTTGGATAAGTCACTTAAATGCTCTCTGCCTCAGTTTCCCTATCTGTAAAGCTGGGGGAACTATTACTTACATCACAGGAGTGTTGTGAGGCTTAGTTCATGTTTGCAAAGTGTTTTGAAGTGATGAGTTTATTAATGAATGCTGGGAAATAGCAGCAGTTTAGAGGTGCTTCTCTTAGCTTGTGAGCACCTTCTCACGATGTGTTAAGCAGCATAACTAGTTTCTGTCACATGTGGTTCCTCTTCCGTTCTATGTTGAGTTTTTGTCAGGGATGCTACAGAACTAGCATTAGCTCCAGTGTATTGATGTATAATGTATTTACTGTCGTAATGCCTCCTTCTGGGGATAGACATTTGAGAGAAGGGTGTTGAGGAGCTCTTAACTACTGTCCCGTGGCCTCTAAGGTTCCACTGATTTGAGGGGCCTGTCTCATCCAAACGGCTGGTCAGTGCTGGTTGAGCAAGCTCCTCCAAAGATCTAATGACTGGTGGACATTGGAAACGGCAGAGGGATCAAAGAGCTTTTCCTAGATGGTGAAAATGTGGCCCCCAAATGTTAATTCCTCAAATGGCTCCACATTCTACTATCAGCTCACTCCCTGTCAGAGAGATCAAGAGAATTCTCTTAAAAGGATTCCTCCATTCCCTCCACGAAGCAAAGATGCTCAGTCTGGCTAGTCATGCCTGCATGAGGAAGCAGTGTGGCCTAGTGGATAGAGCACTGAACTGTGGCTCTGGAGACCAGGTCTGCCACTGGCCTGCTGGGTAATCTGGGGCAAGTCAATGTCTGCTCTGTGAGCTGCAATTTCCTCCTCTGTAAAATGGGGATAGTGGTACTCATCTCCTTAGTAAAGTGCTTCTAGCTCTACTAATGAAGAGGTAGGTATTATTGTTATATATTTGGAACCAAAAGGATTGTGGGTCTTTTTTGCCGCAGGTCTGTTTGAGGTACGTGCCCAGGAGTACCTGGAAACGCTCCCCAGTGGAGAGCAGAGTGGAGTCAATAAATTCCTGAAAGGACTCGGTAAGATGCCAGAGCAACCATTGACTTTTCACGGTGGTTGTGTTGCATGTTACTCTTAACACCAGCTCAGTGATTTGGCAACAAAGATGCTATTTTAGGTAGCTCCACTCTCCCGAGGGTTGAATCTGCTTTCCCCCGGGGCCTTCAGTCAGTGGTCAGGGTTGGGCCACGTATTAACGCACACGTATGTCAGTGGCACTGGGAGCTGCATTGCCGAGGTGGGGGTGGGGTGTGTGTGTCAAAGTTTGGACCCTGAGCTCATTACCTGACTCCCAAAGGAGGAAGGCTGGTCTTGTGGGCTAAGGCACTGGGATGGACTGGATCCCCACATGGGCAAGTGAGCTAATCCCCCTGTGCTTCAGCCCCTCTCTGCTGAGGTGAGGATGAGGAGATTACCTCCCAGCAGTGTTGTGAAGATAAATCTATTAACAGCTGTAAGGCGCTCCGCTATTGCAGTAGCGCAGGCCATGTAAGTACCTAGGGGGACAGAGAGAAAGAGGGCTGGAAGTCCTTTGAAAGCACAACTTTTAACTCCTGCCTAAGGGGGAAGGAGGGAGAAGGCCATATCTTGTGTCCCTTTCAAATCGCCCCTGTCTGGCTGACACATGCAGTGCTATTGTGCCTAGCTCCAGCAGGAGCCAATTCCTTCCTTGGGGGGAGGGAGGGAAAGAGAACTTGCTCTTGAACAAGACCCAGCATTGCTGGGGGGGGGAGGGGGAGAGGTAATTCTGAGGCAGCAGCTCCCCCTCAGTCCTTGCTCCAGTTGGCTCTGGGGGTGAGAGATGGAGCTCAGACTTTCTCCACTGTATATGTCGCTATGTAACGGCTGTTTTCCTCACTTCATCTCCATCAGGTAGCAAAATGAAATTCCTCCACAAGAAATAAGAGTCACGAGCACCATCGTTCCATGGAATAGAAGGATTTTACAATTCAGCTAGGGTGACCAGATAGCAAATGTGAAAAATCGGGACGGGGGTGGGGGGTAATAGGCGCCTATATAAGAAAAAGCCCTGAATATTGGGACTGTCCCTATAAAATCAGGACATCTGGTCACCCTAAATTCAGCAGAAACAAAATGAACTGTTACCAACCATTCCCACTTAGCCTGCTCCCAAGGGGGTGACAGCCCTGGATGCTGAGCTCTGGAGGCAGAAAGGCCAGGGTTTGCTCTTGTGTGAAAGTGGCCCCATGAGATGAACAGATGGCGGTAGAGCAGCCTGGAGAGGTCTCTGGACTCCTACAGTAACATGCACTGGACCAAGCACTCTAAACTCTGCAGTAGCATTTTGCAGACCTCCAAATGGATTTGATTTCTTAGTTATTATACTTTTGTTCTATTTATATTGGGGTTAGGAAAAATATTAACCATTGACACATGCCCTGCCTCCTTTCCGAGTGGCACTGTTGGATGTGATAATGGAGACTGGGGGGAAAGGGTCGTATTACCCAGGACTGAGAACGAAGGAGGAGAGAAATAGAGGAAACATATGAAAATAGGTCTTGACAAAAACGAGGACGCTGAGAACTGCAGGGATGCTGAAGGACATGGGCAGGTTGTGCTTACGAATGAGGAAAGGAGGTGGAGGGGGAACCACTAAACCTACTGAGAACTTGATATGCCAGCCAACTAATCGACCGCTATGCTCTGCAAGGCAGCTGTGTCACAGGCCTCGTGGAGAGGTCTTTCCTTGTATTGTCTAAGTTGAGAACCTTACACAATGTAATTAAAAGTGAGTGGCGTAAAAAGAAAATGAGTTGGGAATTATTGCTGAGAATTATAGATTTTTTTTTTTAACCCGCTGCTTAATTTATAGATATTTTTTTTTAGCCTTCTAGGCTGACTGCGAAGAGCTACAAAAGGATCTCGCAAAACTTGGTGACTGGGCAACAAAATGGCAGATGAAAGTTAATGTTGATAAATGCAAAGTAATGCACATTGGAAAACATAATCCTAACTATACATATACAATGATGGGGTCTAAATTAGCTGTTACCACTCAAGCAGGGCCGTCCTTACCCATACTCAAAGTATGCAGCTGCATACGGCACCAGGAAATTTGGGGCACCAAATTTCCTGGTGCCCTGCTTAGCTGCATGCTGCTCCAGCCCCTGCTCTGCCTCCTCCCCAGGGCCCCTGCCCCTGCTCCACCCCAGCCCTGCCTCTGGGCAGGAATGGTGTCCCTAGCCTCTGTTTGCCAGAAGCTGGGATTGGGTGACAGGGCATGGATCACTTGATGATAACCTGTCTGTTCATTCCCTTTGGGGCACCTGCCATTGGCCACTGTCAGAGGACAGGATACTGGGCTTGATGGACCTTTGGTCTGACCCAGTATGGCCGTTCTTATGTTCTTCTGCCTCATTTTGTATGTGGGTCAACAGGGCCATCTAGTGGTCAAATCGAATAGTTGTTTATCCACGCACCCACCCACCCACACACTGATGCTCAAGCACTCTTTCTGTTACAACTCTCTTATGTCTCTCACTTTCATATAACGCCCACCAAAGAGCTCTCCAACATGAGCCCTGCCCAGCGTCCAACCCTTAGAAACAGGCTTCCAGAAGTTCAAGTGGGTTTCCCTTTTCCAGACCCCAACTTTGACTGGGGATCAGCTCAGGCACAAAATATGGCAGCTCAGCCAAAGCTAAAACCCTTCTGCTCTGACAAGACATGCAGTGTCTGTTGTAGTTAGCTTGTGATGCTGATGAATTCCTGAATGGTTCTTGCATTTTACATGGGATCTGACTGCCATGTTCTGTGGAAAGTTACCATTTTTAATGTGGGTGATTAATTATGAAGTGTTACACAGTGTTTGATTGGCAGTGGTGGCATGCCAGGACATGGCTGATGGCGAAGAAGGGGCACTGCCAATGGGTGCACCACCTCAGGCGCACCTGGAGAGAACAGCCAACTGTGTCGAAGGCAAATAAAAAGTTTTAGGACTCAGCCTTTGAAGGTAGGATGTTGTAGTGTTAGAATTTGTATTTCTTTATGTGGGTCACTAGCAAAACCAGTTTCATGACCCCTTTAGTTCCTAGTCCACTAGAGTATAGCAACTTATTACTGCTCCCAGCTAATGAGGTGGCTCCTTTTGTGGATGTGGTAGAGATCTGTGCTGCAACATTGAAGGTTCTCTGTGCAAACCCTGTGAGGATTCCCCATGCCAGCGCTGTGCGGGGCTTTGCACATGCAGGGCTCGGCTCCTCCTGGCCAGCTCCCCAGACCAGAGGGTCTTGGGCTTTCCCGGGGTGGCGGCCCAGTCACAGGCAGTGGGGGAAGGAAGGAGCCTGCTGGCCAGGCTGTTCCTGAGCTCAGTACTCTGACCAGGGACTGGTTCTCCGCACAGCGCTGGGAGTGGGATGCATGCCACCGGGGGGATATGGAGGAGAAGCAGGGGAGAGGGGGTGAAGGGGAAAAGCAGGGAGAGGACAGCGAGAGGGGGAGCACGTAAAGGGCAGATGGATGGGCAGCAGAGGCGACACTTAACCGGCTGCCACCTGGCGCCTACCCACATTCACCAGCCACCACAGCTTGCAGCGCGCAGCCAGTGCTGGCCGGAAATGGGATGGGGGGGCGGGGTCCTGCTGGCCGAGAGCCAGCACACAGAGGAGGCTGCGCTGATGGACCAGCAGGGGGAGCGGCCGGCCCCATGCACTACAGCTTTGCCCCGCCATCAGCCTTGCACACCCACCCACACCATCATCGGCCACTGGACCCCTCCACTCACCACTGGTGGGCGGGCGGCTGGTGAGCAGGGATCCGGCCAGCAGCAGGACCCACCAGTACTGATGGGGGGGAGAAGACAGAAAATACCAGACAATTTGTCCGTTTTTTAGAAAAAGTCATGACACCTGCAGGATAATATGGGACTGTCCCTTTAAAAATGGGACGTCTGGTCACCCTGCTGATGACTCATGGGGCTGGGGGTTTATTACAGGTCCTCCAGTTCCCTGTCAGAACCCTGGGGATCTCCTCACTCGTTCCTTGCACTTTACACCCTACACCTATATGATCCCACATAAAACAGGCTCAGGTAGGATTTCCTCCCGAGCTTGCACAAGAGCAAGATACTGGATGGCTCAGTGTGAAACACTCTTTCTGTGGGTGTTAATCAGAGCGCTTCTGCAGCACTCTCACCCTCTGCTAGCCAAGGAAGCAAGAGTGTAGGCCCAGGAATCAAACCCAGGCCTCTAACATGGCAATATAGACTATTAGGAGGACACTGTTAGGTTTAAAACCATATTTTTTAAAAAAAATTGTTAGCAATGAAAGCAAATTATGAAAGCAGGAAGTATTTTATAATCTAATTTGCTTTCACTATTTCTGGTGTTTATTTTCTGCATTACGCTCAGTTTGGACAATGAAAATTGACAAGCCAGTTTCCCTTTTGTTTAGAGTGGATTTCTAGTTAATTTCTCTTTTAGATTTTTAGGCCCTAGCCCAATGCTGCAATGTCAGACTGCAAACACTGCCAGGGGAATGGCGATACTTTTTTGCAAATTGTTTTCATTGGATATGTCTTATTTGATGCAAAATGTTTCTATTGTTTTTTCTTAAAAAGATCAGTTTTTAAAAAAAACCTACATTTGGGGTCTGATTTGACCCAAAGTGTCCCTTTAGCCATCAACGCGACGTTTGAAAACTTACAAGCTACAACTAGAGACATCAAGGGAGAAAAAATAAAATCACTAACTCCACCTGCACACGCTGGACTAGGAGAGCTCTTTGGCGGGACGGAGTGGGAGAGTTTGTATGTGGCTCACATGATTGCCTTATTTCACCTGGGATTTTGAACCTGGTCCCAAGTACCAGCCTAGCAGTTAAAAGAGGGAAAAAAAAAACATGTTTAGCCCCATCACCATGAGGGGGAGCTGTGAAGAGTGGGCAGGAGGCTGGTTGTTGCTTCCCTCCCCTCTCCTCTCCTGCTCTGCTGGTTCCAGGCAGCAGCTGTTTCCCTCCCCATCATCTGCTGAGCCATGCTCTGTCCTACCCTGTGTCTCTCTCTCTCAAGGTTGTGGGGGAGGGAAGCATAGGAGAATACAGGGCATATACCAAAGCAGATGTGCTGCTAGAAGTTCTTCCCTGGCTGGCATGAGAACTCCACTCTCCTGTTTCAATTGCCTTTTAACCCCTGCTCATGAAGACACCCAGATGAGGAGGGATGGGAAGTCCTGAAGCTCACCTGCTCCCTGGAGAGAGGCCAGACGGGAGGAGCCCCAAGCCTTCCTCCCTGGAAAGAGGAGAGAAGCCCCACATCCACCCTCTGTGAGAAAGAGGGTGAGTGGAGATGTCTCCTGAGGATGCACGCAAGTAAGGGGAGCTTTAGGGATGGTGGTGTTTGGGGAAGGTGGATTATGGGGGAGTGGGACATCCCTAGAGTCAGAAAAGCACCCACAGTCCTGGATATTCATCTGACACCCCTCCCCCAGACCATGGAAGGGCCTTGACAATTCATATATTCAGCTTAAGAGCAGCCTACATTTCACCAGAGTCACGCATATGAAAGTCCCCTCTCAGCACCTGGGGGGCTGGTGGCCTTTGATCCTTGTGTTCTGGAGAGTTGTGCCTGCAAAACTTCTTCAAATGTTGGCACCTCTCTTAGAAGGAGCTGTGGTGGGTGCAAAGAGTGAGTGGGTGAGTGGTGGGCAGGGTGGACAGGTGCCTTTCAGAGAGATGGGTGAGTGTTAATTAGCTAATGTCTGTATGGTGCTTAGCAATTTATATATTCTTTATGTTTGTACAGTGTGTAACATAACTGGGCCTCCTTCCTGGTCGGCCTCTGGGTAATACCCCAGTATAAATGTGAGATACAAGTATGATTATTATGGGGACAGTGATAAATAGACAAACTTCATTAAGAGCTGCAAAGTGGAACCCTGGATGTCAGGAAGGGCTAGAGCAGCAGCAAAACAGGGTAAAACCAGCTGATTCGCAGCTGGACCTTTAAGACCCCCCCAAAGAGCCTTCCCCTGGGAGACTGGGTTTGCAGAGGTAGTTTAGTAACACTAAATATATCTAAAGTTATTGACTTTTTTACCAAACTCGGTACAATACTATTTCATTTATCGGGGTGTCTCTCTCAAAATGCTTTACTGAGTTAGATGAGAAGTGGAAGACAGAAATTGAAGCAAGCGTAAGGGATGTGTTTTCGAATGGTATAAAACGAGGGCGCGTTGAGGCCACAGAGAAACTGTTCCAGACAGTAGGAGCTGCGGAGGAGAAGGCTCTTGCATCACATGCAGTAGGAATGTGAGAGGGGGTTGTTGCTAGATATGAGAAGGGAACGGGGCAAAGAACAGGTCCCTGAGGTAGTCTGAAGCAAGACTGTGAGGGGATTTAAAAACAAGGCAGGCGGTTTTGAAGGGAATAGTGAGCCTGTGGGATTGTTTGAGGATGGGCATGATGTGGCTCGGCTTTGTTGTTTGTGTGAGAAGACTGGCATCAGCCTTCTGCATACGGTGGAATGGGAAGAGCTGGAATTTGAAGCCACAGAGCCTGCAGTCCAGGCTCAAAGTTGCTAGAGGCTTATCATCTTAATCACCCCCTCCGCTTTCAGTGCTGCTATTTTAGGGTGTCCAAGCTGGGACGCTCGGCACCTGGCTCTCAGAAGTACTGTACACTCCGCTTAAACTCAGTGCTACTTAATTTCCAGTTTTCCTCAGAAGCCAGTAGTGGCATCCACAAAAAATCAGTGGGGCCCGCTGCATAATGTAAGGTTAATTATGTGTAGGTGTTT